ACACCAGCTGTTGGACATGTACTTTGTGTTTCATTTGCATCCGGCAGATTAAGGCCGCACAAACGCTGTGATGTTTCGACTGTTGTAAACAAAACCGAACGTCAGGCTGTACCATGATAAAAACATCGACAAGTTGGTAATACTCAAAGTTAGTTACAGTGGGCTAGAACATTAAATTCGGGCAGAGGAACAACTCATATGTTTCACATGCGTGAAATTCGCCATTTACATTAGTGAACCACAAGGTTACTTATAAGCTGATGGACTTTCACATCCATATCATGAGTACCTATTATAGCTGTATATGTCGGTATAATGTAACGGCAAAGAAGCTTCCAAGTAGGTTCTGTTAGGGATGGATTCCAAGCTATTTTGCACTTTGGTAGCTCGGTATTCCCAGGAAATGCACAAGGTACAAAACCTAGGATGTCTAGCGTTTTGAAAAAGTAGCGCTCGTTCCATTGAACATACTGTTTAAGCATTAGACATTGGTTGATAAATGATCATTGAAATGTCTACGCCATATTTGCCAGAACAAACAAAGCTCAAAATATGTTTTTGTTAAAACGCAAAAGCCATATCCTTCTGCGATTGTATTTCGTTTCCCCTTTATTGCTATGGTTCCAATGGTACACTGTCTGCAATCAAATTGTGAATAGATATGTATATAGACCCTAGCTAACTAGAGAAAAGATGTCTACCGGATTTATTAGTTACTGGAAAGCGGGCCATCAAACAGATTTCATGAAACCGTAAAAATTTTAATGATGGAAAAGTTCAGCTTGTCATTTAATCCTCTTCTGTCTTCCGCTCACCACCCATCGTTAGTTTGATGGAGCCTCAGAAGTTGCTACCTATGGCTAAAAGTTTCACAAAATTCTTCCGAACCGGCATGAACTGTTGTATTCTCTGCAAAAGTGAGCGGTTTAGCACATTTTAAACATGAGACCATGTGGCCGGCTTACGTTATGCTTCTCTGATGGTTCTCAATGTAGCAATGCTTCAGTGCTACCGGAACAATGAAAAATTACTTTATACAAGTTAAAAAGAACTGCTTTACCATTTTAGTTTGGTACTCTAGTGGGGTTAGGGAGAATGTTAGGAATAACCAACACTTTTACTATCAAAAGAAGCAATTATCGCTTTTAATGCAGTAATCCTGAACTGCATGCACTTTTGCAGCATTAGCGAGTGGTAACTGATAACTCAAAGTATTTCACAAGTGTAGAACGGAGAGACAGTGCTACAGTAACAAAAGGTAAGTTGCTGTGGATGCCATTCAACCGTATTTCACAGATAGCTATTATCGACACAGAAATGTGGCTGATCCGGCAAAAGTGTTCCACAGCTGACATACGTCATCATCATCATCATCATTATACACCATAGCTTGAGGTGGAAAACACAGCTACTGTGCCTCAATACACAAAAAATGGAAAAAGTGCAAACAGATGCATGCCAGATGAGCTACCATTAACAAATGGGCATCGTTCCGCTAGGCTAACAGTCGGCTACTATGTAGCGAAAAGGATTATTATATAAATTTGGTACTATTCTAAGTAATGCGATCGCGCTTGCAGAGGGAGACTGAGAAGGATAGGGAGGGACAAAGCAAACCACAATATGAACTGCACCGAGGGCGGCTTCTAGTCATAGCAACAAGTGTATCGATCCAAACGTGTTCATCGTCCTTGAGACCTCCACCAGGGCGCCGAGAGGCTCCAACCGAAGCCAAGGTCCAACGCTCTTGACCAAGCCATCACTTGGCCACACCTCCTCTTCCTCCATCCACACCCGGGGCGCGCAAATAACGCAGGTCGCAGGAGTCAGTAGGCTGGCACGCGCAACACGTGGTAGAGCCATCAGAGCCTGGTGTTGGATGGTCATTTCCTCTTCCTGTGCCACGGCTGGCATACACGAATAAAAGAGAATTTTCCGTGGCACTCCAGGCTGCACTTCCCTGCAAATTCCAAGGAATGACCTCTGTTACAGTAAAAAACGCACACATGATTTGGATTGTGCAAACCCAAGTATGTTACTATCAAACCGCCCTCTAATCGGTGCTACCGTCTGCTGTATAGTCCCAAATGTTTCGGCCTTTTCTCGTCTAGAAGATTGAGCATACCAAAGAGGTATTTGGAAGCCCGATGTTGAGAATACCGCAGTGCAGTGTGGTCGTGCTTCAGGCATGGTCTCCAAGATTGAAGTGCCTATTCGACATGGCGGTGAACATACGCACTGAGCAGCTGTCGGAAAATCTAGACCTCCTAACGCCCCTTTCAACAGCTCGACGTATTGGTTACCGTCTTGCGATACCTTCTCGAACTGCCTCGAATATCCAAAGTGATCTTAAACCAGCACGCCCAAGTGAACTTCGCCGGACGATCTCTGGAGCATATGCATTCCACGTCTGTAGGAGTAGGTGGTGTGGTGTCGTATGGAAAGCACCTTACATTTACTCATTTTGAATTGCAGTAGTTTTCGAACTGAATACCGATGAACTGTAGTTAGTTCACAGTGAAGCAAACGCTGGTCGGCATTCACCTGATTCTTGCCTCACATCTTGATGTTCTAGGCAAATGGTGAGAAAAGTGGGGTGTTGAGGAGAACTACTATAATTAAAATTGGTAACACTAGTCGTCATTGGTTGCTCCAATCCATTCAGTTTACAGGATTGATGAGGCAATGATCGTACTCCCACCATCTACAGCTGATCTTTAATGTGAACAATAAGGTTAAGCAATTGAAAAAAGATGCAGTACTATGCCTGCAGCTTAGCTCTGTGGATGCGTAGTGTCAGTTACAGATGCACATCTTAAGGTAGTTGAAGCAGTGTATGGAGCGCGACACAGTTAGTTGCGCTAATTTATCCCTATCAAGTTATCTTTAGGGGCACCTACGGTAAAAGTCAGTAAATAGTATACGGGTTTGGGTTAATTGGTTTAAAGTGCTTATTGAGCTTCAAATAGTAGAGGCTTTGTTTTCTCTTTCTAAGCACTGTTAATGAGACATCCGATTTCTGAGTGAACTAATAGCAAACGAACTTAGTATATGTAACAGGAGCCAATAGGAAATGCATGCGCCCCAGTGACGACTGGGAAAATTTCCTGTGCTATATTTAACAGTGGACTAAGTTTAAGGTCTGTACTTAAAATGATAGCAAAACTGATTTTAGCTATGGTGGCTATTTGCCTGACCAAAGCTACCATTAGTTTTGTCAATTTACACAATTCCGAGAATCGCGTTTAATCTCACGTATGGCTTATATTATTGGAGCGACTTTGTCCAATTACCTCTCCTCGGCCAGTAATTGCATTTCTACTGACTAAATGGCTAGACGGATGCAAATTTGCCTGCTTTTGCGTTTACTTTCCTGAGTGACTTTGCTGCGGTGATCTGCCAAAGAAAATAAATCCACTTGTATAATTTGGGGTGTCGCGCGTACAAAATCAAACGGGGCCTGTCCATGCGTTAGAATTTGGGGTATCACAGGAATCAGAGATGCTCTCAATCGCCTTATAAATTCACTAACAACAAGAAAATTATCACTGCTCAAACGGGGCCACAAGTAAAGCATCGTAGTAGTAAACGACCGAACATCACTGGATCTGATGTTGCATAGAAGGCACGGAGAGATAAGTTTAATGAACAATGAGGGATAAAGGGATATATGCACAATTTAGTGAGTAGGTCTTAGATGAACAAGTCGGTGCACTTCATTCAGGTTTAGGTGTTAGCAACGCATTGTGTGTAAATATAGACGGATTGATTGAGTGACGTATTGGAAGCTGTGTTCCGATAAGATTCCAGCGAAAAACCCTCCTGGTGTTCGTTGGCTTTGTATACAAACGTATTGGACATTTGCGAAAATTACACTACTCACAAAAACCACCAGTAATCTACATATACGTATGCCCAGTTTCAAATGCTTTTAACCATGGAAAGCCGAGACGAGACTATTACAATGTGTTTTTGTCGCAGTGCCACCTACGAACATAGTGAATATATCTACTGGCAGTACCAAGGTCCATGTCGTGGTCGAGCGCGAATAGGTGCATTTTGTAAAATGAAAGTCCAACCTGTCGCACGAAACGTCTTATAACTTAGATGAACTATTGTAAAGTACCTTAAGTTATTTGTAACTACTCATCTATTTCTAATAGGAGACACTTTCTCTTTGTTAATCGTAGCTATGTGTTTGTCAGCTAAAACTATTAAATGCTTGGTTCCTTAAACATGCACACCCTGACCCCTAGTGATCCGAACATTATGCTAGCAGAAATGGAAGGTGCAAAATATTGCAAATTACACAGCAAATGTAGACCAACATGTTACGATTTCAGAAAATATAGAGACAGATCTGCAGCAAAGTCTGTTGTTTAGTAACTGGTCTTATAATCAATGAATAGCAGGTCGTGTCATGTGGGATTTGTTTACAGACTGCTGGATGATATTAGGCTGATCGAGACAAACACCCCAAAATTAGTCCTCAAAGACTGTCTGGCAAAACTAGATATCATTTCGATGCAACCCAACACAGATGCCGAGCAACAGAAAGCTCATAGGGAGACGATTGCTTTGCAGACGATCATACTGTAAGTGAGTAACTATGTTTTGTCCCAGGATCATATCGACACAGTGAAATGATTTCAGTGCGGCAAAGAAAATCTATTGGTCAATCTTTTGTGAATACACAAGAACACAGAGTTTATCTATGCAATGCATATCCTTTCACGATATCAGAGATGGTGAGAGAAATTCCATCAAAATACACGGAAGTCAAAAGTAACAGGAGGGTGGCAAATTAGTTCTTATTATTGGGCGGAAGCGATCAGATTGCACCAGTTATTGTTGATTAAAAAAAATCTGATGAATGTTGAAAGAGTTTGGATTGACACCAAATGGTGGACAGATGATAGTAAAAGAACAACGTAACCATGACAAAACGCAGTCAATAAACAAACTGAAAAAGAGCTTCATCCTCGGGAAAACAATGTTGGTTACGACAGAGTTGAGTTCGTACGGCATACTAGATTGGCCATGTCCATAAAGTCTCGATGAATGCCGTACGGATGTAGATGGTAGAGAAAATAGTGGAATACATACATATCCGACGGCGAAACATAATGAAAGGAGACAGCGTAGTCACTGCAGCATTCAAAGCCCTGAAAGAAAGAATTAAGTAGTTTTCATGGTCATTCTTGAAAGTAACACAAATCTGAAAAAATTAGGACCGAAATACCATGGTTTGCTAAACAACCGCAGGCTAAATATCCTCTGTGGATGGGCAAAACAGCCTTGATGGTGGAAGCTACACTTCTAAGAAGAGTAATAAAAATATTGCCATTGTAGCACGTGCATATTATCTAAGTTTTACACTGATATCAAGATATCTGAGTCATGGAGCAGAATAGGGTTTCCTCTCACGGTTCTATGAAAGCGGAAAACGACGAGCCAGTCAGGTTGACCATGTTAGGCAAACAGCGGAAACAATGAAGCAGTGCAGCCAGACGTCTGAAGTGTTGTTAGAGTGCAGTGAGTATACAGTAGGAGAGCACGACTGGCCTAGGTGGCCCAGTTGGGTCATGGGAGTAAGCAGACTAATTAGAATAGCCTTATATACGGTTAATCGCTAACTGGGTGAACCTTCGCGCCAGAAAACCAGGCACTCACGTTTTACGCGTGTGAGTATAGAGGTAAGAAACCGCAGTCAAAGAAAATGGTAAGGAACAAATGCCAGTTGAATTATTTGACTTGGTAAGTGCAACCGAGACCAAACTTAAAACTGCTTTACGCACCGTTGTTATTTTGTGGTAATTGTACTTAGCAAACCAAGATGATCCATCCAGTGCTTGTTTGTCCATCATATAAGCTGGAGTGAAAGGGTGGAATCTTTCAACGCCGAAGGCATCCAGACTGTCAATCACGGGGACACCAACAGCTTCAGCGCATGTTCCTAATAGTAGGAAAATCGAGGATGATCAATCAAACTATAAGCAATGAAAACTTGCCAGTCCAAATAAGTGATTTGAATGTGGACACAAAACCGCCACTGTGCGCTTCAATCCTGAATTCCGACTTTATTACGTAACTGAAAAAGCAAACGGATGATAATTCTTCCTCATGCCATGAAACAGAGTAACGCTTTCCGCAATCGCACACATAGCCGGGTAATTTATCCTCCGATTTCTTTGGGTTAACTAATGCAGTCAGGAAGAATTTGATGCACAAACCAAAGGGACACGGCTATCACACGATACATTTAATCCTTAGGTCTATACTCCCATCATTTGAGTCAACGACTAACCTGTGGTTTAACTCATATGCTAATGATTATGATACTTCCTACACTTGCTGAAACGTCCAGCATACGTACGCACAGGATGATGAATTAAAATGTTTTACCACTTTGCATGCTTAGCGACAGTAATTTTCAACCGTGTATCGCCAAAGGATGTAGGATTCCTGGCACTACAACGTTAGGGCACTTAGGTTTTTACTCAGAAAAACAACTTCATCTGAGGGAACTGTGATGTGCCAGAAACAGCCCACAAACACTCGACACATAGCACCCATGTGTCAGATGAAGTCAACTCAACCAAATATTCACACCTCGAGTGAGTGAATTCTCAGCATTGGAACCACTGCTGCGAACACAGCCAATTAGTAGGTCAAGCATTCGTGTATTGTGAAAAATAAACTAAAAGTTTCTCAATATATTTAACTGAGTTAATGGCACCTTATCCCGATGGTACTTATCCAACAGCCAACAAGCCCATATAAATGGTGCGGTGCAGGAAATATGCAAACGACAAGTGCACAAAATAATATAAAAATGCTATCATTGTACAATGGCCTGTTAGAGCCGACACACTGTCATACGCCTGTGCATGCAGCTAACTGCATCACATTCCAACATACTAGATCGGCGACGGCCATTAAATCAAACACACAAACGTATGAGAACTATGCCCATCAGCTATACACAATGGATGCTAGACCATATCACACTTAGCGCATCATAAGCAGGGAGTATGCTATTCACAAGGCCGTTATTATCGGTACAGGTTAACAAACTCGGTGATCCTATACGCACGAGATGGCTACAGAGCAGCACGCCAGTGTTAGGATCGAACGCAGCTGAGCTCAACCCGCTTTTAATGGTTAAAGCGCCAGGTCCGTAACTATTTCCAGACTAATGAACTACAGTTGGTAATCAATAAAATTATTAAAATAAACCTATCACAGGAATTTGACAAGGCATACGATAACTAGGGACTTAAAATACTAGCTGAAACTGGTTGTAGTCCCGGGACCCCAATAGAATTCAGAGCAAAAGCCGTCCAGTTACCAGCAATAGCAGCAGTAACAGAAGTAACCGCTAGCCAGACAGTTGAACCATTGCTTCTCTGCCGTAAATCCACAATGAAATAGGGAAAGAAACATACTGAGACAGAGAAGTGAGTCATAGTGTAGTGAAATGACACGCAGAGGAGGCAGCGCGTGTATTGCTACAAGAACGTGCAACTGACAACTCGCAAACCCGTACAAATTTGGCCCGTGTTTCCTTCCCACGGTGCAACGCGGATGAGAATTCATGTGACGAGCCATTCCAATTGCCTACGTGGCTGAACTTTGAGACAACCCCTCAATCTTTCCATCCAGTGTCTCCGTTTCGCTACATCCAATTCTGGCCGGCCACGAGCCGTTCGAAAGCTCGCGATTCGCGCTCCTGTGGCTGCATCATGCGATCCGAATTCACTCCTATGGGCTTCGCTAACGGGTATTTGTCTGATTAATTACGTTCTCGAAAAATACCTCCTCCATTGTTCTGGGCCCAGACGCGTTACCAGATGCCGCTCGTGATCCGTTGGCGACTCGATTCGCAACGCCCGCAGAGTCTTGTCTCATATCATCCATTGCGCCCGTTGTTTTATTCTCTAAAATCCCGTTTTTGTTGTCGTTTCGATTCACGAGTAGGCACTAGCTTCCGCCGCCCTTCATAAACAGTCAGGGTCTAGGTGCCTACACCTCTTCAGCAACGCCGATCACATACAACCATCTATTATGCAGAAATTATGCTATGTCGGTGCGACAGCCAGCTTTTGGCTTTCACTACTCTGTGTCATAATTAGCTATTATCCTGTAAATAACTAACCATCAAACACACTTAAAAAGACAACGTGACTAAGCGGCGAGAGCGAACGCTACACCAGTGCGGACTACCAGCAAAACATTTTGTAAATCCTCGCTACGGGCAAAAAGCAGGTCCTGTGGACCACTACATGGAAGAGCAAACGGATAACAGCACGCGTCTTAGTCGTCAACTGCTTTGTTTGCCCTTGCCAAGTCAACTTTTGCCCACCTAGAGCCTTGGGCAGGTGGCCGAGTGGCCTGCGCACCTGGCTTGCAAACATAAGGTCACCAGTTCGAATCCGCGTGGGGGTGATCGTCCTCGCGGTATACTTAGACCGCGCGCGACTAGTGGCGGTCGAGTGGCAGCGTAGCGCCGTTACGGTTTACAGCTGGCGGTTTACTTTTTTTACCCAGTGTCTTGAGCCATCCTGCATGCGGCGAATAAACAAAGTCATTCTAGGTAGGCGGTGATCGGGCATGTGTAGCACGTACCCAAGTCAAGTAAAGATAGTGTTTTATACACCCAGAACGGGTAAATATTCAGCCTTATAAAACCAATGCAACCAATTCGAGGTTGCCTGCTGCATTACGGAATTACCTGAAAAATCACTACCTAGTAGTTGCTCACACATAACGTTCCAACGAATATGATCTTCCCTTCAATACTACTGATGCACGGCGGGCAGCGATAATACTAGATTGTAAGCCCCTATGATCGTCAGACCGAAAAGATGAAGTCTCAAATCTAAAGCATATAATGGTACTCAATTGCGCCAATGTATGTTCAAAACCCAACCATAACTCACCAACCAGACCTATGAGAAAGGAATTTGGTGAATTTCATATCCCTAATCCTCAATAGCAGTCAGCGAATAAGAAGGAAATGGTGATGACTAAAAATCGACAACTGGATGTGCGGTACGGAGTAACGACTATTATAAGTTCGTGAGAGACAATCATGAAGCATAGGCCAAGCGTCAAAGTTATATGATGAAGCAAACATGCGTACTTCGGTCAGCAATTGGAAGAGTGAGGGCAACTCAAACGATACTATGGGCATATTCTTATTTAAAGTGTTCCTCTTTTTTAGTTAGTTAACAGAAAGCAATTTGGCTGTCGATCAATGTTTCGGACGATAACGCGACTAAATGACCTTTAATTTGGTTGATAAAAGTCACAGAAAGTGATAAATGACGCCGCATTGCATTGCATGTTGGTTAACTCTTTAGTTTTAATTACGGTCCTTCAATAGGTGCGATGACAATAAACCCCAAAAGAGAGCTCAAGTTTCATTAGAATCGCGGAAGCATTAGATACATTATAAGGTGAGCGATTAGCGTCTTGACAAGTGCTATTGCTCATATGTTACAGGGACAATTCGGAATTCACTTTTTATCATAAGTGGCTCTCAGAAATATAACCACGGCAAATGGGGCTGGGTACGCAATGCTGAAAGGTAGAAACGTGCGCACCTGGAATATTCCATCCAGAATGATTCAGCTTCAGGCAGCGGTCATAAGGTGTAAACTTGTCATCGTATGTTTGCTTGTATTGCATCACTTTTTGTAGGGTTGTTGCGTTGCATCACTGTTGCTTAACAGTGATTCGCTTAAACAAAGCGAACACACAATCAGTTGCCATTAATTGGTAGACCTACGGTTGAATTTCTAAGGGCATCACAACTTCTCCTGCAATGGCATTCGCTCAGCGATTCAGCTAACCAATTGATTCCACTGTGGCAGCCAAAAATCTTAAAGGATATTAGATTAAGTGCCTACGAGATAAAGACTGTGTATCACTAAACGTTCATTTATTCCCAAGGAATTCATTATAAAAACAAGCTTCATTTGAATTCCAGCGCTGAAAACACACCACGCAAGTTGAAACCTGACCGTTTAAACAAAAAATGTAGCCTTGTGACTAAAATTTAAAGATATTCCGAATACACTGCAATCAAACCTACTATTATTGCTATAGGTCACTCCAGCATCCATGTCGGACAGTCATTAGGTGGTCGTAAAATATCTCATTTTAAGTACAGATGCAGTAAAATATAAACATAAAATTACAAAGCGGGAGACGTGGCTATACCCACAGTAAGGGGCAAAACGGTTTACGCAGAAATATTCTGATCCCTAACTTACTTGCTCTGTAATACATAATGTTGTCGCTATGTGAAGTGTATTACTACAGATGTGTGGAGTTGCAACAACGTGTGGTCATTGGTAATGGGAGGGGATTATTGCGGATAGGTTATGCTTACAGAGCAAAAGCTGGGGAAAGTGGCATCGAAATAAAGCACTCTCTATTATTTTCGGCGAGCGTACGAGGAGTGGCAAATTTGCTACTCGGTCGCCCATCGGCGCTCATCCGTCACCCATCGGACACACACCGTGCACTCATCGGACACTGGTGCCAATAGGGCCGGTCGTATACCAAGGAATACGGCCCACGATCAACTAGCCAGCGCTGTAGCTGTTTGCCCCAGCAGCCCAATGTTGACAGTTGTGCTGGCCAACATTTGCATACATAACGCTGCTTAGTAGATAAGAACATGTTAGAGGATAGTGAAGTCAAGGCAAGGAACATGCCTATTTGCAGCTAGCAACAAAATCCTTGTTCGCTTTACTAATAGAAATTTTGTGACTACGTTTTATTTGTTCAATTGCTTTGCTGGACGAATGTTTGGGCTTAACTCCGTTACTTGCATTCGTCTAGCTAGGTGAATGTTTGCAACTGAAGCTGACTGTTTGGGAGACCTCCGTATAATGCATTTCGGGGTCTCCATTTCTTGCACTTGAAACTCGTCTGATATTGTGA